AAAAAAAAATTTTTTTTTCCCCCCCCCCCCCCCCCCCCCCACACACACACACACACCTAATTTTTTCCTAGGCTTAATGATGACTTTCTCAAACTAACCAATGGTTTATGAATCCTGTTCTAGTTAAAAGTAATAAAAACTTGTGCTGGTTCAATTTTTTATGTACAGACACAGATGTGTCTGTACATATTGCCATCACCTGTGTCTGTCGTCGCCGTCGCTGTCGCCGTCGCCGTTGTCGCCGTGCACTTTCCTCGTAAACACGATAAGTGGAAGACAGTTTTGCTTTTTGGCTTTATATTTACAGAGCTGATGAATATTCATAAAATGCAGGTCAAGTTCGAAAATCAGCATGTTCGGGCCATTATTGTAGAAGTTATGCTTTTTTTTCACTTTTCAACATATATGCAACACTGTAAACACATTTCAAGGAAAACCGATAGGCCTGTTGTCATGAAACTCTCAGGAGTAATCGATCTTACTAAAACGCAGGTCAAGTTCGANCTTTGCTGCCTTGTTTCTGTTTTTTGTCTGTACATTAGACAGCTTTGCTGCCTTGTTTACTTTATTGGGTAATTAAACTTATATACAGTTTAATTCAAGATCAAATTAACCATTTAATAGATTCATTGTGGGTTAGAACTAAGACAATGAAATAAGATTTTAGTCAAAAAGGAAAATTGACATTTTGATGAAAAAATGTCTAGAAGTTTGGTTTTTATGTACAGACACAGATATGTGTCTGTACATATTGCCATCACCTGCGTCTGTCGTCGCCGTCGCTGTCGCCGTCGCCGTCGTCGCCTTGCACTTTCCTTGTAAACATGATAAGTGGAAGGCAGTTTTACTTTTGGGCTTTATATTTATAGAGCTGATGAATTTTCATAAAATGCAGGTCAAGTTCGAAAATCAGGTTGATCGGGCCATTATTGTAGAAGTTATGCTTTTTTTTCACTTTTCAACATATATGCAACACTGTAAACACATTTCAAGGAAAATCGATAGGCCTGTTGTCATGAAACTCTCAGGAGTAATCGATCTTACTAAAACGCAGGTCAAGTTCTAAAATCGACATGCAGCCGGAGTTGGAAAAGCAGTCTAATTGGCTTCTTTTTCTGGAAGTTATACATTTTCAAAGTGTGAACTTGAACTCCCATGGGCCTGAAGCCTTATGCTTGTTACACATTTAACTTACGTTGGTATTACCTGTTGAGCATAATTAAAATTTGATGTTGAATTTGCAGTTTAACATAATGTACTTTTGCATCAGAATTGACAGTAGCCTTTTTTGTTATTTCCTGCTTTTTGTCTGTACATTTGACAGCTTTGCTGCCTTGTTTCTGTTTTTTGTCTGTACATTAGACAGCTTTGCTGCCTTGTTTACTTTATTGGGTAATTAAACTTATATACAGTTTAATTCAAGATCAAATTAACCATTTAATAGATTCATTGTGGGTTAGAACTAAGACAATGAAATAAGATTTTAGTCAAAAAGGAAAATTGACATTTTGATGAAAAAATGTCTAGAAGTTTGGTTTTTTTTTTTGGTTGTTGGATTTAAAATTTGCAGCATTGAATAAAAATAGGATTAAATCCAGGAAGATAGTTCCATTTCCAGCATAAGTTCTTTTGTTGGGATGGTAGTCAATTTTATACACCTCTTTACAACTAAGAGAAAATCCAGTAGAGTTATGAAAAAACTTTATATTTCAATGATCAGTCCATAGGACAGGTAACCTCATTATAAAAAGTTATCAGCACTACAATATATATACTGTCATTTTATTGTACATCATGGAATGTTTTGTTGTAGTTTCTCAGCAGGTTTCTCCAACTAGTCATCATCATCTCAACAGCAATGTTACTTTACAGTTCAGTATAGCTGTATGTAAAATGTGAACAGTATTTTTCATAAGTACACAAATGTCTTAACCACACCCTTTGCTTCTGCAACCACCAGCTGGCCAGAAGGGTTAATGGCCAATGCTATGGGATACATCAACCATTTATCATCCTCACTGGTAATGCTACTGGTGAACTCTCCTTGCGGACTCAGTGCCTCTATACTGTTGTTCTTAGGATCAGCAATGAAGATGTGACCATATCTGTCTGTGCAAACTCCCCATGGTATATCCAGCTGGCCATAACCACTGCCATATGTGCCATACTGAAACAGCTGACCACCAGCAGGTGACAGCACATGCACACTGCTACTGTCCCAATCTGATACCACAATGATATCATTCACACTGTTCACTGTGATGTATCGGGGGTATCTACACATACTGAGTGGAATAGTGTTCAGGAGCTGTCCACTGCATGCATGGAATGTGAAGATAGACTTCCTTTCCCTGTCACAAACCATCACATGACCATGTCTGTTCACTGTAATACCGTGTGGCATTTCAAGCAGATACTGACCCATGGTTGTTAGGTGCTGACCTCTGGTGGAGTATACTTGGACACATTTGTCACCCAGTGATGTTATATACAGTTGACCAGTCTGTGACACAGCCACATCAAATGGATCTTTAATTTTTATGTCCAACTTGAATTGGCCGTCATGTGTGAATACCTTTGTTGTGGTATCTACAATAAACATATGTTGTTCATCTATGGCCAACCCAGTTACGTCTGACATATCATATGTATATTTGGATATTGTATTACTAAACATTGGGTAGTTTTTTCGATTAACATGTTTCAATTTAGTAGTAAAAGAATGCACACATCTTGCCTTCCATAAGAATTCAGGGGGATTTTGTGTCACCTGTCCAGGAGGATTTGGTGCTGGTCTTTTTTTTGCTTCCACATTTGCCTCCAGTCTAGGAGGTGGGGACTGTATTGTCACCTGTCCTAGCATGGCTTCCAGTCCAGCAGCAGATATCTCACCAGGCTTGTAGAATATCTGTGCTGGTGTGTCTGGAATTGGCACTGGCATTTTCTCCATCCCTGTCAGTCTCTCTGTCAGAAGTTTTGTGTGAATCATGATGTCAGAGGCAGAACCGTTTGTGATAAGTTCCTGGGCAAAATTGCAAGCACTCTGCAAGGAGGCATGGTGAAGTTGAAGGGTGTCCTTGCTTGCCTCCTTCTGCTTTTTTCTGATATCACTAGCAGAATTTACTTCTGATATCAGTTTTCGCTCCCTTTGATCGACTAGTTTGTGAATATGTTGAGCCTGTTCTTTGATTTTGTTGATGGAGGCTACAATGATTTGGGATTCTTCTAATTCATTGGCAGTTTCCTTATCAACTGCTTCTTTGAATATGTTCAGTTTTGGCACAGTTTTCATAAGGACAGTTTCAATTTTTTTGCGATTGATATCTGCAACTTTTTCAACTGGCACAATACCGTGTCTGTAGTGGTCTGTTAATGCACAGTCACCACATACAACAGTATCATCATCTTCACAGTAGTATTTCAGTTCATTTGCATGGTGCTTCTCACATTTGATCATCACTTGTGAGATACCATGTGTCACTTCTTGCACATCAGTTTCTTTATTTGTTGATGGTACTTCATGCTGAGGTTGTTGGCTGAGAAGTTCTTTTGTTGTGTGAATAAGGAAATTTTTTTTCAGTTGCACAAGTCCTTCCCTCGGAAATTGTATTTCTTCTCTACAAAGGGGACACAAAAATATCCTGTCCTGAGTCATAGTTCGTGTAGCATGGTCATATATACAACCATAGCAAAATGTATGGTAGCAAGGCAGCACACGGGGGTCTTCATACTCTCCCAGACAAATGCTACATGTCAAGAGTTTATCTGTGAAAGCTGCTGCCAGTGCCTCGGCCATATTGTCACATCAGAGCGCGAGGCAAGCAGTCAGTGAATGGTTCGACAGTAAAATGTGAAGTATCTATCTTGAGCACTCTTTATATGGTGGTAGCAGATGATCAGCTGATGGTGACCTTGAACAGTTTTATGGAAACTGTACCATGTCAATAATGATAACATGCACTATATTTGATATGGTTGTTAGTACAAGTGGCCATGCAGCACACAGGGACAACTAATGCTCCTGCCTACGTGATCATTGACAGGAACAAAGATCATCAGTGTCTCTTAATTTTGATGACTTGCTTTAACAGTGTTACTCTGTTATTGTATTACCAATTAATGAGCAGTTTGTGTGGATACTGCTTTTAAGTTGAATTCCTAGTGAATATAGATTTTTGTTTGAATTTTTCATTATTCTTTTCTGAAATTATATCCTGAAATAAATTTACATTTTTGGAAGATAAACAAATACATAGCCCTTTTACTATAAGTAACACTGATTAGGGGGGTTTTAATTAGTGCTTTTAGCAAATTTAATTCAGCACAAAGTATAGCTATTCTACCCATTTGGACTGGACTGGTCCTCACTAAGATATCCAATTTGTCTGTGTGGTTTCCGCCCCTTCTTGACACAGATCTGACAAAACTTGTCCATTGTTTATAATTCCATCACATGTTCATCAGGTGATAAGTCTAGAGAATTTCAAGGTCTCTATTTTTANAATAAACTCATATCATTGCAGTTTGTCAGATTCAATCATTCACTATGTTCAGAATCTTAGAATGGAAGAAATTGGACATTTAACACTGCTCTATTGATATTTTCCCCATCTCATCAATTTTTTTAGTTGATCATATAAAAATGGCAGTAAACTGTTAATTTTGTTTTGTGTTAAAAAATGTTAAAAATGGAAAAAAAAAACATTTCAGAACAGTGCTGTCTTGTTCAAATATTGAGACTTTCATCATG